TACTCTACTTCTCTTCTTCTTCTTCTCTCTCTCTCTCTCTCTCTCTCTCTCTCTCTCTCTCTCTCTCTCTCTCTCTCTCTCTTTCTCTGTTTTTCTCCTTCTGTCCTATTCTCGCCTATTCATCTTCCCGCCTCTCTTTTTCTGCCGCGATCTCCTTCTCTCCCTACTCTCCCATACATGCAAAATGAATATACATGGCGGAAAAAACAATAACTGACTACTGAGAATGTTCTTAGAGATATTTCATTCATAACGAATCGGCGTTATTCCCCCCCCCCTTAAAATAACCTATGTTGGTATATAGAGATCAGTGCGCCAAACTTATTCGACTTTAACCGGAAATCGAGCGTGTTGCATTATAGCTGTAAGGGACCAGATTTGTGTACTGGACATAGTTTAAAAACAGTTTTGATAGAGAATTTTTCGTTTTAATTCGTGACGTGGAAAACTTAATACGTATTAACCATTAACCGGCCGCGTGACCTAATGGATAAAGCATCTGACTTCGGATCAGAAGATTGAGGGTTCGAGTCCCTTCGTGCTCAATAATGTGTAACATTTTACGAAGCAGGTGCGTGAGTTAAGCCGGGTTTACACTGCCAACATTGTGTTGGCGAATTGGCGAATTGGACCAGCTTCCCAACGCTCTATCAACCGTTCTATGAACTGTGCAGCGCGTTTACACTGACGACTGCGAGTTGGCCAACTCTATCGAGCGGTCAGCGTCGACCGCGAGCGTACGCGTGGGGCGATGGATATATAGGCATTATTGCATGTATAAATTCTTGAGGTATCGCACGCACAGGCGCAAAGACTCGTGCACAGTCACATAGTTGGGATGCCACGAGGGCAGTGGATTACTGGAGGGGTTTCCCATTGTATTTGTCCATGCTCGTGATGCCGACCTCCTTCTCATGTGCACGTGTGCGTGTACCTTCCCCGTGTACAACAGGTGTACGTGAGTGTACGTATCGGCCGTACACAGATGCACATGACCGCACGCGTGCGCACACATACACGCGTGTGTGCACGTACATTTACACACGCACGTTCACGCGCACGCGTGTGTGCGAGCGTGCACATTAGGAGCTCGGCTGCACGGGCTTGGACAAACCCAATGCCCTCGTGGCAACACCGGCATCCTGACTCTGTGACCGTGCACGAGTCTTTGCGCCTGTGCGTGCCGTACCTCGGCTTTTATGCCACAGAGAGTCGTGTTAGCTTTCTTGCCTGTCTCGCAGTGTTGTTATTATACAATAATCCGTTAATTCTGTCTGCACGGTGGGGCGGGATGTACCTGTCGTCGTCGTCGTCGTCGTCGTCGTCGTCGTCGTCGTCATCGTCGTCATCGTTGTTGTTGTTGTTGTTGTTTGTTGTGCTGTTTCTTGGCGGCGGCAACGGAAAGGAGAACAGGGGGAAGAGAAGGATGTTGGGGATGCGGATGAGGATCGTATGCGAGGATGCCATGTACGTGCACGCACGGGTTGATGAGCGACACCTTGTTCTCTGTAACTTCCGGCTCCGCCGTGTCCTCGCGAGTTCCCGTGACGTCGGCATCTCGGCGACATAGCGCCCAAAGTAAATGACGTAGGGACGCTGTTGAGCACGCAAAAGAGAGCGTGGTTGCGTGGTGCACATCGCAAATTCTGACCTTACTACTTCTTTGGGGCGGCACTGGCAGCCTCATTTCCATTCCTACCCTATAAGGTATAGCGATTGGGACATCGCCACCTCGGCGACATAACGCCTAAAGTAAATGGCCTAAGGCCGATGTTACGCATTTAAAACAAAGCGTGGATGCCGGACAGTTTGTGCGCATTGCAAATCCTTTCACTTTGATTGTGAATTGTGATTCAAAATTTTTACTTTGGTCGCAGCATCTCGCAGCAATTTTCGCAGCAATACATGAACTGACGCTCGCGTCGCTCGTCGCCGTTGCAAGCCAAGATAAATACCATCGGCCGATCTTGGGCATTCAATCGACGTCACGTGTGCATTGTAAAATCCCATCTACAAGATTCACTTTGCTCGAAGCATCGCGCTCCGGATTTCGCGTATGCTAATTGTACACGAAGATGGCGCTCGCGCGTTCGCCACCCACAGTTCATTGCCAAGGTAATTTTCTTCGGCCGTTCTCATACGTTCAACGGCCCGGAAACCGGACCCTATCATAATAATATCTAATATATTAGTTATTAAATAAATATATGCGGAGATACTGAGATGACTTAAGAAAACTGCATAATATAGCTTGCTGAGAGAGAGAGAGAGAGAGAGAGAGAGAGAGAGAGAGAGAGAGAGGGGGAGAGAGAGAGAGAGAGAGAGGGGGGGGGGGAGAAGAGTGGAAGACAGAGAAGTAAAGTAGGTGTTTTGTACGCTACAGGCTATAGGGCGCACTCCTAATTATAAATACAGGTCTACTGATAATGATTTATTACATAAATCTATGCTGAGAACCCCCTGACCATAAATAAATAGTCATCACAAAATATAACTCCTCTGGTGAGATATTACGCATGCGCTAACACACGAACGTAGCCAGATTGTGTACTGATCATGACTGGTATATGCAGCGCGGACCTTACATGCCATAACATACCATAAGATCTTCTTCCTATTATTTTTCCTATTTCTTAAATGATGTCTACTGATGGAATGTTATCATATAAATGTATGCTAGGATAACTCCTCTTTATTTCAAATGCATAATTATTGCATAATATTAATTTTCTCGGGAGATATTGCGCATGTTGATGCAGATGTTGTACCTGCGGCATTATGCCGCTACGTGGCGCGCCTGCTCGGCCACAGTAATTGAGTGGCAAAGCAGAGGTTACAACCTTTTTGCAGCTTTTTTTCACAATTCCAAGAAAAAGTTTTGCTGTCGCCCTCATCTCAACGGTGGTCACCCTTACATATTCAATAATGAACCCGACCTAAACAATGCCCCCCCTGTACATAGTCATCTGATAGTCAAAATGAAGGCTGTAAATGTACTAAAAAATAGGGTGATACTCCATTATGAGTGTTCCCAACTTTAATGTCATTAATATATATGATCATATATATATGGTCATGGTCATATATTAGTTTGTGGTTTAATGTCATTTAGGTTAGGGTTAGGGTTAGGGTTAGAGTTAGGATTATCAATCATTAATCATTAATCATTAATCATTAATCATTAATCATTAATGATATCAAAGTTGGGAACACTCGTAATGGAGTGTTAGCCAAAAAGTACCTCAAATACCATTTCCCACACTCCGACACGTGCCGCAGAAACGCGCGCGTAAATGGTCTCCTTTTGGGTGGAGGGACACACCCCTGATTGCTGTTCTCTGATTGACCACTTGGCAAAAAAAAACGTCCAACACGCCAACTCCGAGTTGGCGAAATTAAAACATGTTCTAATCTTCCAACTAGTTGCTATGGAATCGGTTAGACGCGCAACTTTTGCGTTTACACTGTCAGTTGCGAAGTGGCGAAGTTGGTACAATTCGGCAATTCGCCAACACAAAGTTGGCAGTGTAAATCCAGCTTAATCTAAATATATGAATGTATGTATAATAAAACATTTGACCACGAAGGGACTCGAACCCTCAATCTTCTGATTCGAAGTCAGACGCCTTATCCATTAGGCCACGCGGCCTTACATGGTAAAACATTCCCTTTTCTGCCGAAAGGTGTCGCTATCATTCAAAGCATATACTATCGGTTACAACTGTACAGGATGAGAACGCTATCAATGAGAACTCTATCAAACAAGATGAGGACCATATCGATTTACGCAGTATCATTGAAATACGGCATGAAGCGAGAAAGATGCAGCCTGAAATCTGCCATGGAAAATAAAGCGTCCGTTCAAATTCGGAAAGTAATTAATCTTGACGAATGAATTTATAATACATCCGCAACATCTTGGTTGGTATCAATTAACGATTCCTTCATTGATATTTACATATCGATTAGTTTTCACTAGTCGATTCAACATATTAAACCACATCATGCAGACATACTTATTTGGTGTAAACCGCATGCTTGTGTAGACGTTTGCCTCAACATGCACGTGCTTTGAAACGCTGCCGCTATACTTTCATCATAGCGAGACACGCAACTCAAACATCCATATATTTCTTAAGTGTAGTTATTTTAATATTAATTATAATTTATTACCTAATTCGCGGCGTGTAGGCAGACATGCACGAACGCACGCGCACGCACACTAATATGCATACGCACCGCACGCACTCAGACATGTGCACGCACGCGAGCACACAGTTCGCAAAATTGACGAAGTAAATCTGAGCGCAAAAATTCCAAGCCACTGATCTCTATTATATATATATACTAACATATAAACCATATAAATTATGTTAGTATGTAGAGATTAGTGTGCCAAACGCATTCTTATTCAACTTTAACCGGCCATCGAGCGTGTTACATTCCCGCCCCCCCCCACTCAGTGTTATTTAGGGTACGCATATGCTCGTTCCCTCCCTATGAAAGCACCCCCCTATCGCAGGACTGCCAAAATTTCTGAACCCCCCTTTCGCGGGCTTTTTGCGGGTTTTTCCTGCCTTGGAGAACCCCCTAAATCCGGAACACTACGTATAGACTGGTATCCGTTCGCCACCTTCACTCCGGTACGTATCCTTCGCTACACTGACTTAGTGACGTTAGTGTAGCGTGTGGAACTGTCGACCGGGTACCAGTCTACACTACGTAGTGTAGAGTTCAGTGATCGAGGGGAACTAGGGAGCAATATTTTTATTTTTCAAAATGAAATAATCCTGAATGAGCTTTCAAAACTAGCAGGAATTTCAGGAATTTGATCCCAGGATTTGATAAAGTTTTTTTTATGATATTCAAGATGAAAGAGAGAGAGAGGAAAAACACCCCCTTTTTAAAGAAATCTCCGGGTGAAAAGTCAAATAAACCCCCTTTTTTTACAATTCTTGGGCCGGATTTTGTCGCACGAAAAATACCCCTTTACCGGAGATTTTGGGAACGCGCATGCGGTCCTTCCGACCTCGGAGTGGGGGGGGGGGGCGGAGTTACATTATAGCTGTAAGGGACCAAGTTTGTGCACTAGACTAGTTCCAGTTTTGATGAAGAATTCTTCGTTTTGATTCATGACGTGGAAAACTTAATATCAACCATCATCCGGCCGCGTGGCCTAATGGATAAGGCGTCTGACTTCGAATCAGAAGATTGAGGGTTCGAGTCCCTTCGTGGTCAACAATTTGTAATTTTTTTACGAAACAGTTGCGTTCATGTGCGTACGTGCATGTGAGTGCGTGTTATCGTGTTCAATAATTATTTACTACCCTGTTTCGATTGATGGTTGGATTTTCGCTCATAATTTACATCTATGACAGTGACACCTGTCAGGAGCATGTTAGTTATCGTATATGGAAAGATTCCTTACTTATCCTTTATTTCCTACTTTCGTCACGCGCTCCATCCCCTTATCCGTCGGACGTGGTTGACAAGCAGCTAAAGTCATTCATTGTATTGCCGGGAAGTTCTGCACCGAAGTACTGTAAAACGGACGCGCTTAGAAAACATAATAGAGTATAAACTGGTTTAGTTAAACTTTTAAGCGATTTTACACGCTTATAATTTGTGACATTTTACGATAAAGGTGCGTGCGTGTGCGTGAGTGCGTTCATGTGCGTACATGCGCGAAAGCAAAAAATATCTTCTCGGAATATTCCCACATACAATAACTAACACGTTCAGGTGTCACTGTCATAGATCTAATATAATTATGATAGACAATCCAATCGAAACCAACCTTGGAACACAAGAACACGCAAACACGCATGTACGCACATGAACAAACTCACGCACAGCAACGCACCTGTTTCGTAAAATGTCACACATTATTGACCACGAAGGGACTCGAACCCTCAATCTTCTGATTCGAAGTCAGACGCCTTATCCATTAGGCCACGCGGCCGGTTGACGGGTTACTAATATACCGTATTCCACGTCGCGATAAGCGTTCGTACAACTAGTGCTATACCTTAGTACCTTGGTACTTTACATGAGTTACACGAAGTACTGCTATGATGTACTTGATATTTCAATAATCAACTTTTTGTACAATAATATATTTCTTAAAATATCTAAAATATAGTGTATACATATTAAGATATTGAGATATTTCGACTTATTAATCAAGCTAATGTTACTTGGAATACTGATATGATAATCCATAGTTAGAAGCAATACTTTTTATTGACAACAAACGATCAATCAACCATGCACCCAAACAAACAAACAACGAGCAAAGGATATATTTTTGAAAGTACACTATAATATAATTTCTACACACACGCACACGCACTTACGCACGCACACACGCACACACACACACACACGCACACACGCACACACGCACA